TCAAAGGCTGTAACCTAGGAAGATTCAATGGACGTACTCTCTTACCTCGTGAAGATCTCGTTTGAACTGCTTAAATCTCCTCCTCCTTTCCTTTAACAGGTTAAGGGAGATACAAATTGTTATTATTACTTGGGCTGATAGCACCTAATACATTTCCTATTTCCTACTAGAGCAGTACAATATTTGATGGGGGCTCTAAAAACATTTGCCCCCCCCCCCCAACATAATTGGGACATTTAAGGTAACATTTAACTTTAGGAAAAGTATTAAAACGTGTCAAGTTGTCCGATTCTTGAGCAATCTTGCAGTTGGCTATATCATCATCAGGAAGAGCTTCCTCAGGTACCATAGTACATGAACATCCGGTATCCCTGACTATGGTCGAGACCCAAGATCCATCGACTGTTCCAGATCTTACAAAAGGATGAGTATTATCCTCAAAACAAAATTCAATTTTATATTTTTCACTGAAAGCAGCCAAGAGGATTCTGGGGTCACCGAGGTCAAATGTGACCCTTCTCGCCACACCCATGACAACATGACAAGTTAGATTTGATAAATCTCTTTTGCCCTGATTACTAGACCGGGATTGCACAGTTCTTCAATGCTAACTACAGTTTGCCAACGCTTTCATGCTAATTAAATTTTGTTAGTGAGTCCTTCCTAACTACAGTCTGTCAGCAGTTCCCTGCTAACTACACTTTGCCTTGCATTTACATTCTAACTGCAGTTTGCCATCGTTTAATTACTAACAACAGCTTGCCATCGCGTCCTTGCTAACAACAGTTTTCCAGCACATCTCTGCTAACATTATTTTGCCCCCACTTCCATGCTAACTATAGTTTACCAGCATTTCCCTGCTAACAACAGTTTGCCTGTACTTCCCATCTAACAAGAGTTTACCTGCCCTTCCCAGCTAACAATAGTTGCCACGATTATCAGCTAATTACAGGACGCCAGCTTTTCCTTTCTTACTGCAGTTTCCCAACATTTTCCTGCTAACTACGGTTCGGCAGCTCCTCCCTGTTAACCATAGTTTGACAGCGTTTTATTGCTAACTTCAGTTTTCCTTCGTTTCCTCGCTAAGAAAAGAATGCCAGACCTTCCCAGCAAACAACAGTTTGTCAGCGCTTCCCGGATAATTACAAAATGTCAACGTTTCCTTGCTTACTGCAATTCTCAAGCATTTCCTTGCTAAATATGGTTAGACAGCACCTCCCTATTAACTATAGTTTAACAGCGTTTTCTTGTTCACTACAGTTTACCAGCGTTTCCCTGCAAAGAAAAGAATGCCAGATCCCCCCTGCTAAATACAGTTTGTCAGTGTTCCCCTGCTACAACAGTTTACCAGCACTTCCCTGGCAACTACAGGTTGCCAGTGTTTCCCTGTTAATATTATTTAGCAGCGATTCCCAGCTAGCAACAGTTTACCAGCGTTTCCATGAAAACTGCAGTTTGCCAGCGTTTCATTGACAGCAACAGTTCGCTACCGCTTCCCGGCTAACTACTTTTTTCCTGCTTTCCCCTGATAACAATAGTTTTCCAGTACTTTCCTACTAACTACAATTTGCAAAGGTTACCCTACTAACATCAGTTTGCCAGTTACTTACATTATAACTACAGTTTGCCAACTTTTCCCCGATAAAAGCAATTTGTCAGCGATTCCCAGCTCACAACAGTTTACCAGCTATTCCCTACAAACTGCAGTTTGCCAGCGCTTCCCTGCTCATTACAGAGTGCCAGCACTTCCTTGATAACTTCAGTTTGCCAGCATTTCCCTGCTATGTTACCAGCGATTCTCAGCGTTACATTGCTTACTGTAGTTTGCTAGCGATAGGTTTCGAGTAAGAGAGTGTTAAAGTAAGGGATTGTTACAGTGAGGAAGTGTTGGAGTGAGTCAGTGTTGGAGTAAGTGTGTGTTGGAGTATGTGGTTGTTGGAGTGAATCAGTGTTGAAGTGAGGGAGTGTTGGAGTGAGTCAGTGTTGGAGTAAGTGTGTGTTGGAGTATGTGGTTGTTGGAGTGAATCAGTGTTGAAGTGAGTGAGTGTTGGAGTGAAGGAATTTTGGAGTGAGGAAGTGTTGGGGCTAGAAAGTGTTAGAGTGAGGGTGTTTTGAAGTGAAACACTAGCGAGTGATAGAGTATTGGAGTGGTGGAGTGTTGGGTGAGGAAGTGTTAGAGTGAGGGAATGTTGGAGTGAGGGTGTGTTGGCGTGAGGGAGTGTTGAAATGAGGGAGTATTGGAGTGAGGAAGTGATGGATTGAGGAAGCATTAGAGTGAGAGAGTTGGAGTGAGAGAGTTGGAGTGAGAGAGCATTGGGGCGAGGGAGTGTTAGAGTGATGGAGTGTTGGAGTGAGGAAGTGTTGGGGTGAGGATTATTGGAGTGAGGGAGTAAATATGTGGTGTTTACACTTGATTCTACTCTTTATAGAATTGATATTTTTTGCATTGCTTTATATTGTAACATAGAAGGGTCACACTTCCATGTAAATACACTTCATTGTCATCTTTATCTGCACAGCTTACTCCACACGATCAAACCACTAATTACCCAAGGCAACAAGTAGGAACACCAGTCAGGAGATGGCTCCTGATTGGTGGAAAACCTCGCCAGCTTTTGAGGGCGCCATCTATCACAGGCGATGTCTACCACTGACCAAGAAGTCACCGGCAGGGTTGCCAACTCGGATTTTCAAATGTCGCTAGGCTGGTACCTAAAAGTAGCTAAATGTCGCTAAATCTTCCATGGAAGGTCGCTTGCTATTATTCCCCCCCTTCAGTAATTTGATGCAAATAATATTTTCATAATGCCGACCATAATGAACGGAGTATAAATAAAATGCATTATGTAAAAATAAAAATATTATTTTTTTAAAGTTTAATGTGCACACTTACCTATTATTCAATAGTAATTGCATCCCGGTCCTCTTCGTAGTCGTCGGCAGTGTGAACAACTGTAGAGCTGGAAGCATGTGAAGTGCGTGGTTCAGGTTCTCTTGTAACTGTATGCCTCCACAGTCCCTATCTTTCTTAAAATATCACTAGGAAGTTCATAACTTGCACAACAGGTGTTCTGTCTTTTTAACCCATACTTTATTGTAAGAATTGCCTTTAATGTCGATAGTTTCATTTTGTTGCGCAATTTTGATTTCACAAAGTTCATATTACTAAATGTGCGCTCTACATCTGCGTTTGAATGCGGAAGAGATAAGGCAGCGAGTGCAATTTCAGCCAGATCATGGTAAGGGTTTTCACCTGTCGCATCTCTGTAATTTGCCACTTCTGACCACAATTTTAGGGTGTTAGATGTTTCTGTCCAGATTGTGTGATGCAGTTTTTTCCACTGGAAATCAATCTTGGTAAGGGTGCTGGAATCTTCTGTAAATAAGTGTGCCAAACCAAGTATATCTGATTTAATAGGCTTCAAGCATTCATCGGCACTCAGAAAAGAAATAGACTGCAGCACACGAATGTTGTCAGGTAAGCGTTGACGAAGTTGTTTTATGAGTTCAACCCGTTCAAATGCATTGTCCCTGTAACCCCGTTGCTATATATTATGGCTCGAAATTAGGAAAACCGAGTTTTCATGGACAGTCCAAAAGTATCCAGAAAGTCGCTAGATTTCTGTGGATATCTCTAGATTTGCGACAAGTCGCAAATCGCTCTAAAATGTCGCTAGAAAAAAACAAAAAGCTCTAGATCTAGCTACAAAGTCGCTAAGTTGGCAACTCTGGTCACCGGCAGTTCTACTCTCATCTCCATCGGCTCCTGCTCTCCCTGTGAGCTCTGTCATGGTGTGACCCACTGTTACCTGCACTGCCTGTTCAACGAGGAATCTACTGGCCATCTAGATGTAACGTGAATTAGTACAGCTGAATACATTATTTTTCACCCTTGTATATGTGTTTTGTGTTAATTTTGTTTTAGGGATATTATTTAAAAATCGCTTGCATATTTTTCACGTCCTACTATTTATACTTTGTTGGGTACTGTCTTGGCAACCATGAGTGTGGTATCAACTATCCAATTATGCCAAGTAATACTGTGGTAACTAAACCTACAGTAAAACATATCTAGAAAAGATTACAATACAAACAGATTGTCATTTGTTACGTAATTAGGCATGAGTTTTACAAGGTATTTTAACTAAACTAATTCAACCAAAAAGCTCCTAGACACACACAGGGAAAGAAAGCATTTAAACTTTGAGATTAAAAATAAAAGTATAAGTTAAAGTAAAGTAAGTTAAGACATTTGCCTTCTTGATTGCTCAGTTTCCGGAACAATATGTTTGGTGTCATTAGTCTTGATATACATAATAATCGGTGAAAAGAGAAGACGTAGTGATGAATGTGTTCTCCGAATGCTTAAATTTGTTTTTGATATCGACGGTAAATATTTGTTATTAAAAAAAAATCTACTCGTATCTTGAAAGTTAATGTTTTTAATCAGTTATATCATAGAAATAATAAATTCACCATTAAATTGAGCAAGAACATAGCATCCTTAGCAGTTAAATATGAGTTTATTTGTGATATATCAATATTAATCGAATATTATGAATGAACCATTAAGCTGCAAAGGGGGCGGGGCTTCTTAGCTTATTACCGCTAGCTAAAAGAAAATATATATATTGTTGGAGTACATGATAAACCCGGGCTTAGCCGCACTCATACCCTCCCTCACTATATCTTTGCATATCCCGAAACCTCATCCTACAGATGGGAACAATAAAGTTGTATAAGTTTAATGAGGTGAGAACAATATGGTGTTTATGAAGCAATAACAATAAGGTTGTGCAAGAGTTACTGAAGTGGGAACACTATGGATGTATAAGTGAACAATAAAGTTGTGTAAGCGTAACGGAGATGGGAATAATTGAGTTCTTGGGATGGGAACTAAAAGCTATGTAAGCTATGCTGAGGTGGGAACAATAATGCAAAATATACATGAGGAATGACATTGTTAGTGGGACACTGTATATTACAAACTTAAGCCTCACCGTGATGAAGAAGCTAGCCATCGCCACCAACCACCCCCATCCTCCGTCAGGTACTCTCACGCCCTCCATCCTTCCTCTACGATTGTGTTTCCCTTCACCGGGGAAGGTTTGTTGTCGTCCAGTGTCATCGTTACCTTCCTCCTTGGACCTTTGCTGTTGTTGTGAGAATTTTTTCGGTTGGTCACATTGCCTGCTGCGTGTGACGTGTGTGTTGGAAGTGGTGTGTTGAAGTAGGTGTGTGTTTGCACCAGTTGTACTGATGACAGGGTAACTCCAGTCCTTTGTACCCTCCGACTCCGTGCTTCCAGTGTTTTCCTTCCTTGTGCTAGCCAAGGCCATCCCAGCGTCACCAGTTGTCACCACCATATCACTTGATACAGAATCTGAACGCAGCTTCTCTCCTTTATTGTTAATTTTTCTTTCATATTTCCCCGTTTTACCCTCATTCACTGTCGACTGAACACTGTTCATTGTGCTATCCATGCTTTTTTGTTTCTCCGGCTCTGTAACATCAAGAAATGTTTGTATTTTATATATGAACAAAGTGAACATTTCACAAACATGCACCCTAAACATCCACTACTTCAGTACCAGCTTTCTTCTGAGTCACTCACACCAGATTAAATGACAGATTGACACAATTCTGTGTAACTAATAATGTTATTAAATAATTACTGGCCTGTTTTCGGCGAGGATATGCTCATTGATCGTGTAGATGTGTTAAATAATGTAAATGACTTATTTCAATACAAAAAAATATATATTGACTATGGGAAGGCCTTTGATCTTGTTTGGAGGGATGGCTTATAGTATAAACTGATAAAAGCGGTAATTAATAGTAAATTTATAAATGTCTTAATTAGCATGTGCAGAAATATAAAATCTTGTATAATACATAATCAAGAAGTTTCTAAATATTTTATAAGTTGTAAGGGAGTTAGGCAAGGAGAAAACCTTTCGTCCATTGCATTTTCACTGTATGTAAATGATCTTGAAGAGCTCTTGCTTGAAAGAATATTCAAGTTTAATGAAATATGGTTAAATATGATGTTGAACTTTCTGGTATTAATATATGCACCTAACAATAGTGAGAAAGGTATTGTAAATGCTTTTAAGGATTTGGATGAATATTGTGAAGAATGGAAGCTAGATAATAATATTAAAACAAAGTTAATGATGTTGAAAAAAAAATGTGCAGCTGAACGATATGATTTTAGGTCTAGAGTACAGAGTAGAACAAATTGAAATCGTTCATGACTACAAATATCTTGGTGTCTTGTTGAATTATAATGGTGTATTAAAAAATTCAACATGATTTATGTACACAAGCAAACAGAGCCATGTATAGTTTAATAGGGAATTGTAGGAAATTTGCTCTGCCCATTGATTTTCAGCTTCAACTTTGTGATCCAGTGGTATTGTAGTGACCTGCTCTCCCTACAACTCCTCTCCCGTCTTCGCCCAGCCAATCAGCGGCGCCGCTCACCTCACACCTCTGAACCTGATCCGGCAGAATCGTATAAATACCCCTAACCTCGCCGTGATGGTCAGAGAGGCTGATTGGACACGGGAGTAGACTGACGTTCTTGCGGGAACAGTACTCTGTAACGGTTTTTCTTCGCCATTAACCGCTGCATCTTGTGCGATTGCACTTGCACTTGTTCTTGCTATTCAAAGCATTGCAACATTTCATCAATTCATTTTAAAAGTGGCTCTGTCACTTACAATTTTTGACACCTCACGAGCGCCCAGGATTGACAACCTTAGCATTCCCTCCCCACAGTTAGTGTGAGTGACCCACACAACTGCGAGGGAAGCGCTAACTGTTGTCCTTCCTGACGTGGTAGGAGGGCTTTCTCTCTTACTTCTTTTTTTTCTAATACTTACCCTGGCCGAGGCACCTGCTGAATTTTCATAATTCAGTATTCGTGCTAGAGCCCCCCCAGTGGTGCGCACCTCACGGAGTGGGATTGTGTGTCTCCAGTGGGGGTCGGGGAAAACCTGGGCCAATCCAGCAGTGACGTCTGTGATCGTGCAGGCACACCACTGTTCGGGGGTCGTCCTTAAGTAAAAGTATTTTTTTTGCACTGAGGGCCTTGCATAACCTTAGTGCACCAAAACCATACATGTAATTAAGCAAGCAAGGCTGTACCCAAGGGGTGGTTCCCAGCCACCCCAACCATGCCCTCTGGGAGGGGAAGCACCAAGCCCCCCTCTGCTCGTCCAGGCAGGGACAGGCAGAGGCGGGAGACCAATCATGACCCACGACTGCCACGACCAACGACAAACTCAGATAATGTAACGGCTACCGACCAAACTACTCAACAAAGACGAAACATACAAGTATCAACTGAGAAGGCCTGAGTAATCCATTTTCGGACTATTGACACGTCTACCTCGTTTGACAAAATTAATGGATTCATCATACAGAAGGCCATTAAGGATCAGATAGGGGACGTGGAGAAAGTCCGAAAGACAAGAAAAGGCGAACTCCAAGTTACTGTTAAAGACGCACAGCAAATGAGGGACGCCTTGAATCTTAAAACTTTTCATACAACAAAAGTGGAACCATATATCCCAGCATTTCTCAACACCTGTAAGGCTGTAGTTAACAGCTACGAATTTCAGGGGATGACTAATGACGAAATTAAGTACCACATGAAAGATCAAGGAGTCGTCGATGCTTACGTATTTAATAGGAAGACCACAGACGGTGAACGCAAACGATCAACTACAGCAGTACTCACTTTTGACGGACTTGTTAGGCCCACTCATGTCTTGGTAGGATATGAGAGGGTCCAGACCAAAATATACATTTCATTCCCAATGCGTTGTTTTAACTGCCAAAGGTTTGGACACACTGGTAAGGCCTGCCGTAACACCCAGGTATGCTCCAAATGTGCTCAGACCGGACACAGGGACGATGACTGTACACAAACGGAGGAAAAATGCTACCACTGTTCCGGTCAGCATGCTGCCTCAGACAGGAAGTGCCCTTCCTACCTGAGGGAGTATGAGATCAGTAAGGTGAGAGCAGAGAAAAATTTGGACTACAAGGAGGCTAAGAGGCAGGTGGAGTTGTCCTTGCAGACACCTGGAATGTCCTTTGCATCCGCTGTATCCAAAAATACCTCACCTCCCAAAATGTGCACCACTGGAACGCAGACTGAGACCAAGACCATCGCAACACAGACTGACCCCACAATCACCGGTTATTCAACCACAGACGCCAAAGACGAGAACACTAATACAACTATGACCAATAACGAGACCCAAACTAACAAGTTATACCTGACCCCAAAACCCAAACAGACTCACGACCCTATCTACCCCAACGTAAGGAGGAGAACGCAATCGCAAGAATGCATGATAAGAGACTCAACACCACAACCACTCTTTCACGCTTTTCAAGCACACCAGGGGCAGGGAGCCCCTGCCGAGCAGAGTACTGGCTCTTTGGAGTCGGGAGACTGCTCATCTGATGAGGGGGATCCTTCCACGAACCCTCTTTCCCCCCCATATACAAGAGGAAAGAAAAATAAAGCCCAAAACGCTGACCATATCAACTCTCAGACTTAAAATTCAGTATCATACAGTGGAATTGCAGAGGTGCTAGGAATAAAAACGCTCAATTTCATTTCTAATGTCATTATTCCGGCCGGACGTTTTTTGCCTACAAGAGACGCTACTTGCGGGTCACGACGACCCACCTGTATTCGACAACTACACGTCCTACAGGGGAGACAACCTAAGGGGGGTAGCCCTATACATTCGGAGTTCATTCGCCCAGCAAAGAGTCAGTCTGAACGTGAACCTGCAGGCTGTGGCGTGCAGAGTTAAGATTCGGACTGGCTATGTTGCCATCTGTTCACTATACTGTCCTCCGGGCGGGCTCATCGACGATGGTGAGCTTGAGGAGCTATTTAACCAACTGCCAGGAAAGAAAATGATCCTCGGCGACCTCAATGCTCGCCATTTGCGGTGGGGCAGTGTCCGGAGTGATGGGAGGGGAGAGCAGGTGGCTGCAGCTATCCTCAACTCCAACCTGTCTCTTCTGAATGACGGTAGTGCGACTCGAGTGGACGAACGATTTGGCACAGCGTCAGCTATAGATCTTTCTATAGTTGATGCTGCCTTGCTATTAGATTGTAAATTTTCTACATACGACGACTCTCTGGGTAGCGACCATTTTCCGATCTGCATTTCTTATGAGTGTGGCGCCCCAACGGCTACTCCCGAGGTGCGCTACAACCTTGGGAAAGCAGACTGGAGGGCCTACTCAGGAGCCGTTCGTATAGACACCTTTGGACAAGACATCAACACCAAAATTACACACATACAACAAGCTATAATACACGCAGCAGATTTAACAATTCCTAAGACTTCTGCAAAAACCCACAGGCCTGGAGTTCCATGGTGGACACCAGACTGCCGACGAGTGGTCTGTGAGCGAAATAGGCTATGTCGTTTATTCAATAGAATTCCATCACTTGTAAACTTAATTGAATATAAAAAAGCTAGAGCCAAGGCTAGGAGGGTTCTCAGGGAGTGTAAGAGAGAGTCTTGGCGGGCGTTCGTCTCCACTATTAACAAGGATACCCCTTCCTCTGAGGTATGGTCGGCTATAAACCGGGTCAGATCCAAAGGAGGAAGGAGTTTTATCCCACAGGTGAGTAGTGGAGGGCGGATTCTCGACGAACCCCAGGCCATTGCCAACACCCTAGGCCAGAAGTTTGCAGATGCCAGTAGCTCCACCAATCATGATCCACGCTTCGGCGTGTTCCGTGATCGTGCCGAGCTCTTGCATCTCGACTTCGAGAACGGGGACGAACAGGGCTACAATCGAGCATTTTCCCCAGAGGAACTTTCCTTTGCTATTAATAAGGGCAAGGGCTCTACTCCTGGACCTGACGGTATACGATACGAGATGATTAAGCACCTTGACCAGGGAAACCTGGACAAATTGCTAGAAGTGTACAATGAGATCTGGACGTCCAGAACGTTTCCAAACTCATGGCACTTTGCCCATGTCGTACCGATCCCGAAGAGGGACAAATGCCCGAAAAACACCAACTCATTCCGTCCGATTTCGCTCACAAACTGTCTGTGTAAGGTCATGGAACGTATGATAAAGCGTAGACTAATGTATTTTTTGGAAAGTAACAACTTATTGAATGATCGACAGTGTGGTTTCCGCCAAGGTAGAAGCACACTAGATCATTTAATAAGTCTTGAAACTGACATCTCAAAAGCTCTTTGCAGTAAAGAAACATTAATTGCAGTATTCTTAGACATAGAAAAAGCTTTCGACATGACATGGCGGACTGGCCTCATGATGAAGCTCCACGCCTTGGGTCTGAGAGGTAATTTGCCAATTTTTATTAGAAATTTTTTGCAAGACAGGACTTTTTCCGTCAAATTAAAAGGTAACGTAAAGTCAGACACATTTGTCTTTGAAAATGGAGTTCCACAAGGTAGCGTTTTGGGCCCAATTTTATTCCTTATA